CATATCATGTACATTTTAGATAACTTTAAAAACAGATCTAGATTTAAATTGTATAAATGAATCAAAAATGCGGTGATGGTGATGGTGCTTTGTTAACCAATATTGACTATCGTGTCTAATTCGCGTATTTTGTCGCCAGAACATACAGTACTTGAAGTTATACTTTAATTTTCAGGTATAAAGGTATGAAATATTCTCACCTCTGAAATGACAAATATGCAAATGTTGACACCAATAGCGTCCATTAATATGGATAAATGTGTTGCATATCTCTCTTGAAACAAAAATAATTCATATCGTTTATTAAAGAACTATTTAAACATTAATCAATATAACTGTTAGTTAAGGTCTAAAATAACAATATTTCATCAATAATGGAAAGGACTTAATTAGGCTAGCCTAATGTAAAATTCATTTGACAGAAATTGTGATGCGATACATCCAATTCTGATCCGATGTGGTCATTTATAAATACAGTGTTTATTATACGTTACTATCCGCATGTCATTTATAATGGTTTAAGGCATAACGCCGTTTAACAGAAAATATTCCTGATAAATCTACATCAGATAGATAACCCTTATGGCAGACGCCTTTCTTTCATCATTATAATTATTTTTATTTGCATAATAAAATGTGCCGTCTGGTGTATTATAATTTTGTATTTCAATAATTTATTAATAATGTTGTAAAGTGGTTTGAATAACATGTTAGACATTGACCAATTTATTCATGGAGGTAATTTCTCAAATGTTACACTCAGTTGATCTGAACTTGTAAACCTGACCAACCCCACACCTGACTATACACATTCTGTCATGAAACGCTTACATTAGGACACTCATATCAGTAGTCAAATAAGACTCAATTATTTATAATTTAAATTCTCAATTTATATATTTCCAAATGCATCAGATAGCATGTAGGAGTTACAATATACATGTACATACAAGTAAATATTACAATCCATTTATGTAAGATGGCGGAGAACATAGAGTAAAATACAAGATGACATCATAGCAATGTTGTCAACATACAAAAGAAAATATATAAACATTGTCAGTGGCACAAAGCTGGAACATACACGATTGCTCAGATATTAAGAATAGACTTTCTTTAAGAAGTAGCCTGAATTAGATACTTACTAAGGTTTCTGAATTGTATTACATTTTTTGCAGACGAATAATTGCATTAATGCATAGACGGACGACGGAAATAATAGGGTTAAATAAAGTTGGTTCTAAGGCTCGCATCATTATTGACAGTAGCAAAGGAATCCTGGGGCTAATTAAATGTTTACATGATTACTAATGTTCACGTGTATGCTGTTTCTGTTAACAAGACTAACTTCTAACAAGTACTGCATGTATGTCTGATTTTATTTTATTTCAATTAAGGCATGCGATCTATTTCCTTAATTGAGTAATGAAATATTTTTTTAAATCTGTAGAACATTTTATTGATATTTTTATCTTCTATGGAATCATGTCATCAAATTCCCGTAGATGTGTATAGTACAGCTACGCTTTGTAGATAAGACATCATTTTAAATTATATCTATGAATTGTTTTACCCTCCTAATTTTATTTATTATTTAAACACAAATAAAAACAAAAATAAAAAATGTTTTTTGTCAAATGAGATTCATTGTTTGTACTTTGGAGGTTATGAATGATTTTATGATTAACACTAAGTTACTAAATACATGTTTTTACCTCGCTTCATCAGTGTCAACAATAATGTGTCTCTTTGTTTAGCTGGATTACACGAATAGAACAATATGGATGAACTATTTCTAACTGTTCCGGTCCTCACTGGTTCATGGATGAGAGAACGATATCTGCTTTTACCCGATCTTTATATAAAGTATAGTAGTGGATTAACTATTTTATCCGTCCTCAAAGCTTCATTTCCTCATCTGTACTAAGCGTATAATAGCAGCGGACCAGACACAACATATGTTTCTTCTCAGTTTCCGAGATTAATTGCTCCGTGAGTTGTACTCGTTACACACCTTACAGTGTAAGCCTAATTTGCAGACTGCAGACATACATGAGTTTTACCCTTTTTGCAAGAATTCATTATTAGCATGTCATTCGAGAATATATGTATTCATTACGTTCATCACAATTAACCTAACATGTACTTGGATATATTTTTTAATGTTGAAACGCGTGGGAGGCACGGTAGTCTAGTGGTGAGACGCCGGGCTCGTCACTGAAGGGTAGCGGGTTCGAGTCACGGCACGGCACTGTGTTGTATATTTGAGCAAGATACTTTACTCCGCTTGTTCCAGTCTACTCAGCTGTAAATGAGTACGTGGTTGGGCAGTGCTATAATTGTTGAATTCTAGCTGTTAGCGCCGAAATGGCAGCTCCGGCTGTACGCTCCCAGGGAGTTGCGAAAGATGTTGGCTGGTTGCAAAGGTCATTTAACCACGGATAATAATTTGTGAAACGATTTGAGACGACCTACGAACTAGGTTGTGATAAAGCGGTATACAAGAACCTCGAATTATTGTTATTATTAAACATTCAGCATTTATGGTAATCGCAACGTTTGGTTAATCTGTTGTAAGTATGATGTGTGGAATATTGTGCTTGGTACCTTCGGCATGGTATTTCTATGAGGTATCGCAAAGAGGCAAACACACAAACATACCGCCTCCATCACACAATCCTACAGTACATACATGGAAGCATGTCCTTAAATCATCGTAGCTGTAAATACGACTCTAAACCCAATAAAACCAACCCAATACACGAATATGTAATTTTTCAAAGTCCTCGCAAGGGCAAGGGTCATATACAGGATGTGTATCTAGAACGAAGAAAGGAAAGAGAGAAAGTAGACATGACAGAAAGAGAGAAAGTAGACATGACAGACAGATAACTAACAAGATACCAAGTGTTGCTATGGGGATAGTAGATCATCTTGTGTACCATGTCCTCGTCGTAGAACAAAAGTAATAGGGTTATAAGTAATTCAGTGTTAATAGACTTTTGGCATGTTTATTTATGGTAAGGGTAACATGCTGAAGAACACACAAAGGGAAAGAAATATTTATATTAAACCTCGCCATGTCTTAGGTGAAGTCACATACTTTGAACCATTGGTGAAGGCGTGAATACACTTCCAACTCTCGCCCAGATAGTGCACATTTTGTATGCGGAGTTATAGAGTGCCTAAACATTGAAAACGAATAAGATATATTTTTGTCTTTAAATATTTTAGTAAACACCACAAGAAGTTTTGCTTATGAAACGTTGTTGCCGATGCCAATTCAAACCAGCTTTTGTCTAAACACTGACCGTATTAAAATGACATGTGATTATCTTACATTATTTCACAACAATAATTAAAGACAAAAGTACGTTTAGTTGAAATGTTCAAGTGATGAAGCGGTGAAGAAAATAGATCTATAAATTTTATAAAAACAATCTATACTAAAATAGTGTTTGTTTCGGGAAAACAAAAAGAACTGAGCAAGATACTTTACTCCGCTTATTCCAGTCTACTCGTCTGTAAATGAGTTGGGCAGTGCTAGAATTGTTGAATGCTAGCTGTGATCGCCGAAATAGCAGCACCGGCTGTATGCTCCCAGTAAGCTGAGAAAGATAATGGCTGGTTGCAAAGGCCCTATAACCACGGATAATAGTTTGTGAACCGCTTTGAGACAACCTACGAACTAGGTTGTGATAAAGAGGCATATAAGTACCTCGAATTATTATTATAGTTTTTAATATCATTATTAAAACAGAATGTTTGTTTGCTTTGGGTTTAACGTCCTCCCAACCTTGAAAAGAAAGAAAAAGACAGCAAAATTAGGAAACAAAAACGATCCCTAATGTATCAATGGGGACAGCAGATCACTGTAGGCATTCCCCATGTCCCCTTTGTAGAAGACCCGGTAGAAAAACACCCGACACTGCCTTGGTTACCGACTTAGTCGCCATTGACGATACACATGCAGTGGGATACAGCAGGTCTATTACTGTTTTCCGCAATGTCCCTCAATAGAGGACAAGGAGCAAACCACACCGCAGGGAGGCCCTCATTAGTCGCCTCTTACAATCAGCGCACTCAAACTTCAGCGGAACGAAGGGGTCGGACTTATTAGCGCACTGTTATATTAGCGGAATCGCAGTACCTTAACTCATTAATGAGAGCAAAAGAAAAAGAAAAAAATCTTTGACGTATGTGTGCGATTGAATTGTTGATGTTTACACGGTGATTATATCTATATCTCATAATCATAAGACATCAAAGAATTTATGAACTTATTGATATTTTGACTAATCATAATAATAATTCGGGGTTATTATATACCGCTTTATCACAACCTAGATCGTAGGTCGTCTCAAAGCGGTTCAAAACATATTATCCGTGGTTATAGGGCCTTTGAAACCAGTCAACATCTTTCTCAACTCCCAGAGTAACAAGCGGAGTAAAGTATCTTGCTCAAAGATACAACACAGTGCCATGCCGTGACTCGAACCTGCAACCCTTCGGTCACGAGCCAGGCGTCCTACCACTAGACTACCATCGACATCAATAACGCTTAACAGCCGACAAATAATAGGGAGAAGCGTTTTACACTTAGCATATTTTCGAAGTGAGCTAACATTCAAGTCGAAGAAATGTCCAGTCTCATGTCTGTTAGAAGGTTAATAAAAAATACAAACATTTTGATATTTAGTTTTCATGTCACAAGGTGTATCTGGCATCTTCAAATCTCTGATGTAATGGTGTTATTTGCAATAAAACAGTAGAAATTCAACTGATTTTTACCGTGGAATGAAAATTGCTCAGGAAGATGTACCTGTTATGCTGAAATGCACTGGTTTCAAGAACACTGTCATCTGTGTGAAATAATATGTTGTTATATCTCATATACCACAATTATGCCACGTTAATGTGTTAACAGCTGATGCTGACTAACTTATCACATGACACAGGTCGTAGTATATAGGTCACATAACACAGACTGTAGCATATATGTCACTGAAGGTTTGTTTGCCGCTCTGCATCTTTTGAACAATGTCGGACTTCAACATGAGGTGGGCTAGGGAGGAAGATCTGGACGAAATCTGTCGGATGAGCACTGTAAGTTTCTCATTTACTTATTTATTTCAATTTCTAATTAACAAGTTAACCGTGTAATTGAAACCAACTGTGACCTTACTTGTCAATCTTTTTTAATTTCTCCTTCTATAATAACTCTCTCTTCAAACTACACTTGAAAATATATGAGGGAGAAAGATGATATGATATTGCTTACTGTTTTGTTATTTCAATGCATGTTCAAATAAATTTGGATTGGATGTATGCATTTTCATAATGTTGAAAGTTGAATGAGATTTATCAGTTTGGTATGAAAAGGTCTGTTTCCCATTTCGCGCAAATAGTATAAATGACTGGTGGCTCGACTCAAAAGCAAGCAGTTATGTTCAAAACAAACTTAGCCTTTGTTTGTGTTTAATAGTTTCGTGAAAAAAATATTTAACATATGCTTAATTTTCAACTGTTTATTTTAAGTTACGAGAAGGAGAAAGTGTGTCTTATTTATTTCATGCAATGTTTTATTTACTTGTGCATTTGTTCCAATCAGTGATATGGTGTACCATTAGCGGCAGTTTGTAAATGTAACGAAGGACAGCGACTTCTGCTTCATCGATGATGGCTACAAGGAGGATCCATAAGTTATCGTTTGTAGCCAACAGAAAGTGTGGTTTGAAGCTTCAAACCCTAATCAGTTACCTCATTGGCCGTAGTCTTTATATTTATGAAAACATGCTTTGTATTCCGTCTTTGCATATTGCAGAGTTTATTCTCTTGTGAGCAGGTATTGATTGTTACGTAATTGGTTTGTGACAGTAACGTCATCAATTTTTGAGAAAACGACGTAATTTTTTCACACAAACCAATGACGTAACAATCAATACCTGCTCACAAGAGAAGATAACTCTGCAATATGCAAAGACGGAATAGTTGTTTTCATAATTGCAGGAGCTTGCTGTGTGTTTGAATGAGTCAGAACTTGTGACAATAACGCCAGAAAGTAAGTCATTTTTCGGCTTTATGTGTAAACTATTCTAAACATACAATTATATAATAATAACACGCATTCATCACTTATTAACTAATAACCATCATTGTATGTTATATCAAGGCCTTTTTTTTAATCATCAGTTCATATTTATAGTTTAATATCAATTGGCCCGCTTGTATATGTGGTTCCCCCTTCGAAGATCGTGATCATTTTTTTCCTGCACTGTCCTCTTTATACTAAACAAAGACTAATATTACTTAACCCCTTGTCAGCGATGAGTGATGCTATTCCATTCAATACCCAAACTTTTATTTATGGTTTTCAATCACGAGACGTACACGTGAACATAAATATGGTGGAGACGGTTCAGAATTACATTAGATACATCGGACTTTTTTTTTTATTAGATTCTCTAATAGCTTTGTAAAATAATCTCTCTTACAACAATTGTGATATTTGAAATATGTATTGTCAAATCAAAATCAAAGTACAAATGATCTCTTATTTTAATACTTATAGAAACATATGTAAAAGTAACATGTATATGATATGTGAATACTGTTATGTTTTATAAGGAGAGGGATCATATAGGCTATGTCTGTTGTCCAATTCCTTTTGTACATTAGACTAGTATAATAAAATATTCTGAATTGAAATATCTATTGACAGTTTTGAGACGAGATCAGCAATTATACAAGAGTTTGGTAGCAGAGGGCCTGGGATGTAAAGGCAAGTTAACCTGTATATACAAAACATAACTGTTAGAGTCTAATGTGAAAATGATGTCAACAATGTGTCAGTATGATACAGTTTGGTTATAAAATGTATTACATACAGTGAAAACAATCACAGTTTCCCCTTCTCCTTCCTTTTTATGACAAATGTGTAATGTAGTATTTCCTGTTAACTGATGACTACCATTATAACCCGGAATGTTTATTATACTGTTTTGAACTTCAGTGAAGCACGTTCTCTTTCTAATTGAAGCTTATATTAATGCCTAGTGACTTACCGAAACTAAATCATGCCTAAATGTTATCGACATTTTCATTGATTAATGATCAATTGATATATTTTCGCTCAATTCTTGCTTCATTATAGATTCCCTCTCGAAGCCTTTGATAGGCTTTGCTTTGTATATCTACAAGTTCAGCGCATGGGAAGGACGAGTTGCTGTTTTAGACAACATATATGTGGCACCAGGACACAGGAGTAGGGGCATAGGGTCAAGCCTGCTGCAGATGGTGAGACAGGTTAGAGATGGCAGGAGTAGGGGCATAAGGTCAGACCTGCTGCAGATGGTGACACAGGTTAGTGATGGCAGGAGTAGGGGCATAGGGTCAAGCCTGCTGCAGATGGTGACACAGGTTAGTGACGGCAGGAGTAGGGGCATAGGGTCAAGTCTGCTGCAGATGGTGACACAGGTTAGTGATGACAGGAGTAGGGGCATAGGGTCAAACCTGCTGCAGATGGTGACACAGGTTAGTGATGGCAGGAGAAAGGGACATATGATCCAACTAACTGAATATGGTAGCAGAGGTTAGTGATGATGGGCTAATGACAGTTTATTGATTTTAGATGAAAAAAAATGGAAAATATCCCAGACTCTTTTGCACACAATATTATTTTCGATGTTAACAGACAAAAAAAAAGTTGAAGTTTGTGTTCATTGGTCTAGTAAGTGTCTCGTGTATTATGATCTTAAAGATCGATTATCACAGATACCCTGCATAATTCAGATCATTAATTGACATTCTTTTCCTGATGTCTGTATCTTATTTTTTTTTATTTGTCAACCCAGCAAGTACGTTTACGTTTAAAAACATTGTAACAACACTAAATGTCAACATTGTTCAAACGTTGAATTTGATGTTTTAAGTTGAGATAAGGTGCCACAATTATTAAACGTCAGATTTGAAACGTTGATAAAACGTTTATTTTCAACATTGACTATATAACTCTGACGTATATCCCCTCATTCAGTGGCACATTTTATAAACGATAATTGGTCACTATCGGACCATTCAATGGGTAGCATAAAAAGAAAGCGAGCAGAATACATCACACTGTTTTGGTTAGCATTATATTTCTCTACACTACTAAATCAGCAGCTTGCCGCCCACCCCACCGTGTCTATTCATCATACAAGATGTATATTGGGGTATTAACTAACGAAATGTTGCGCAGTTGAACACCTTCTGGAAAAGAAATTATTGTTGCAACATTTTTACAGTTGTCATCGGTCAAACATTTCGAACACTCATTCATTCTTGTAGATACGTATTTTACCCAATACCGAATAATATATTCATGTCACATAGGAAATTTACGGCACACAAGAGATAATAGGTAATAAAATATTGATATATATGTTAATTAATGCTGTCTGCTTGAACTGTCATGCAGCGACGTGAGCAAGCATTTTAACGTCCACATTATTATATGTATTTTATTCTTTAATTATAAATGTCCCATACTAATTTGTGTTCACAAAATAACCCCTTTTAACATTATTTACATATTTTTAAATATCGTATTCAGAATAAGTTTGGTAATTTGACTACAGAGAAACTGACCCTTTGCTAGTAAAACACACAATTTGTCACTTATTTCATTGTCATTCGTTTATGGTTGCTATCACTGTTGCTCTTTTACTGCGTAGACATGATACATAGACATGTGGCTTTGCCACTCGTTACACCACCATACCTCAAACAGGTGAAACGCCTTCGTTCTCTTATAGTTGTCGGATTGCACAATGTGACATGATGTGCGGTGTGCGCACAATCAAATACCTGTACGATAATAATGTGCGCACAAACGTGCGATAGCTACAAATCGGGTGGTCAGGTCGCACAGTAAATAACGCACCCACCCTTCACCAAGGCGGCTGGGGTTCGACTCCCCGATCGGATTTAGAAATATATGGGGTCAACTTCCCGCCCACGTAGGTTTTCTCCACGTTTTCCGGTGTCCTCTCATATTAAGACCCCTGCGCTTTAACCCCCGGGCCAACAAGCGTGCTTAATATAAGTTATACAACTTGTTTCATATTTGTTGTAAAATATACAAATTTTATATTTTTCATATAGCTATGAGTCATGTTAGTTCACGACCAAATATGAATTCCACGTCAACGCTAATAAACGTTCTGTGCCTGATTGCAGCTTATCATACTCATGGACAATATCGGTATAACATTGATATACTCATACACATCATTTGCTTTTTACTGAATTCATGTATGGAAGTACAAGTATCTAATCATGTGATGTATAAACTACAAACGATGTGATGAATCCCAACATTAGATGTGTAAACCATTAGAATGTTTGCAAAAAATGTATTAGGTATCGATTTCAAATAACCTAACGCATGGTTCGTTTCTTGTTCCAGGATGTAGCAGAACATGGCTGTAGTGTGATGGAACTGTTTGTTCACGATTGGAACTCCAGGGCCAAAGAGTTTTATGACGAAAGGGATGCAGTTGATCAAACCCTGAAAAATAAGGTGCATTTTTACAGGATACCGATATCGAGTGAAGAAAAAATCTCAAAAACATAAAAAATGTTCTATAATATATAGAGATTTACACATAATTTTAAACGGTTGCAATTTCTTTTAACTATTAAAGTCTGTAATGTGCAAATATGATATCATGAACAGTGTCTAATTTAAAAGTGAAAATTCAAAGTATTTAGTTTTGCAGCGCCTGACAGGAAGTTCAGGGTCACCAGTACAATCAAGCTTAATATCAAATATACATTACCTGTCAAGTGATATAATTGAATAACGTTACCGAAAAAAACCGACTAGTTTTTGTGCGAACTTCTACATTGTATATTGACAAACTCGCTGAATTATTATTAAAACACCAAATACAAATAAAATCTCAAAAGTTCTCTAATTCTCAAATGGTTTTTGTTTGTAATTAATGATACGCATTTGCTAATGACAGATGTCTGAAGCGAGGTGTTACCATAGTGATTGAGATTAGATTCGAAATATTGTGATGGTGATTGATCTAATCTATGTTTTGAAAAAGAAGATATATAAACGGTGAATTGAAACGTTTGGGTGATGTAAAACACTGTCCATAAGCAGGTGGTACGAGATCCTATTTAAGAAGGAGGCGACATACCGGACAGAATCAGCAGGTAAGAAGGATGCGACATACCGGACAGAATCAGCAGGTAAGACGGACGCGACATACCGGACAGAATCAGCAGGTAAGAAGGATGCGACATACCGGACAGAATCAGCAGGTAAGAAGGACGCGACATACCGGACAGAATCAGCAGGTAAGAAGTACATTTGTAATAGTTTGTCTTCCATCCACAGAAGTGTCTGCATCTTGAAGCCTGGACACAAAATTTCAGGAACAGGAATTTATTTTATGATGGCAAACAAAAGCGTGACAGATTCTGTAGTGTATCGTGTATGAAAATATTATTTGATGCTGTTTCTATTAAATCAATATGTGTTAATTTACGCAATTGATCTTTATCATAAGATCTAACATGATTTACAACAAATCCGTTGCCTGTAGATACGATTTTAAACCTTTCAAACCTTTTGTTTATGGTTTGATGCATTCATTTTTATGACTGCTCATTTAAACGTGTTGTTTGACCCTAAATAACTCGCATTGTCGATTGGCTGTGAAACAGTACAAAAAAAACCAACCAAATATAAATACAATTTTCAAGAAATGTGATACACTCCCCTTTCATGAGACTGGGTGATTGGTGATATTGAACCGCAATATCGCTTGTATCATGTGTCGTGTTTGAATTCGCTACAGAGGAAAGGGTCGAGCTAACGGCATGTTTCGGAGTGATGAACAGTCTCTTATCTCTTATCAAGGATTCTGTTTCCACTCACATACATATGATTTGGCGAGTTTCGTAGCAAGCATGGATTAGCTTTGACTTGATGTAGCAAGTAAACAATGGGATGTGTAACAAGTTGCATGTTTATTATAATGACAAATAATGAAATGAATATGGGTTTTTATTCGCAAGTTTTGCATTTCTTTCCAAAGATAATTTCGTTTCTACGGTACTGTATACTTCGTCAGTGCAACCCCTTGACACTGTAAACAGGAACCTGACAGACCGGTTCGTTTGCTTTTATAAATAGCACTTTTATTGATAAGGTCTGGCGGACCTGAGAAATTCAGTAAGAGATATATTTTACAACAAACAATTACATAAGTCATATAATCACTCTTGTTGGCCCATCATCACATGACTTAGTCCTCTTTAGACCAAATCTTTTCAATTGCGATAAAGGAAAACAGTGTTATTTGAAGAACAAAATTGTTTATTTCGCATATCATCTGGAGTCCCTTGACTTCACAGATGTCCTTCAATTTAATCACAGTTTAGAGTCTGCATGTTTCGATACGATATTCGATAACAGTAACATGATGATTTTATGTCAACGCTTTTCGACATGTGTATTATATAAGAATTGAAACGGCATTTTGTTTTCAATTTCATGCCGGTTACACACATATTCAATTGAACTCGCCAGGGCTTCATGATAAATATGTATGTAACCGGTTTACGTTCATACCGGCATGAACATTGAAACAATGCCGTTCCATCCTTTGATTTACAGTCTAAAATGTTAGTTTTTATTGTTTTGTAATGCAAGTACATTAGAAGCCAGATATTGTTTTGACCAAGTCGAAGGTTTGGATATGAACCAACCGTTTTCTAGTAGGTCAATCACGCACATATCGCCAGACTAAACATAGCGTTGACACCAGACCGTTTCAAAGATAAGCGAGTCGCATATATGTAAAATGAAAATCAGCCGATAAAGCTGGTCATTGAGAACGCTAATAACGTATTCAGTTTGAAACTACATTCTATGTATATGAAACTGAAGTATAAACACCTAGTGTGAAAATCTATCAAATATTTATATTTAAAACATTTATATTTCTTCGAGCTTGAGAACAAACTAATGACTTTAGCGTAACAGAATATAAACCAGACTCGATATTTATTAATCAATTTGATTTGCTCGTCCAGAAAACACGGATTCATGCTTCATATATAACAATAGATATGTCGACAATATGTGACCAAAGACAGTGCTAGTATATCTATCAAAATATGCAATGTTTTTGTGTCTTCGTCGTTTGTGTGTCCTCATCGCAAATCCTTTCGATACTATCTGACCTCGGTGAACTTATCTTATTGAGTTGTACGTTAATGTATTCATGTTTTTTAAATGGCATCTAAGCTTTGTACTCAATATAGTCTACATGCTTTAAATGTCATTTGAGAAAGTTTGGTTTGCTAGTCATGTAAGTGTTTCTTTCTCACTGCATGACATGAAAGGTTTGGTTTGCTAGTCATGTAAGTGTTTCTTTCTCATGACATTAAAGGTTTGGTTTGCTAGTCATGTAAGTGTTTCTTTCTCACTGCATGACATTAAAGGTTTGGTTTGTTAGTCATGTAAGTGTTTCTTTCTCACTGCATGACATTAAAGGTTTGGTTTGCTAGTCATGTAAGTGTTTCTTTCTCACTGCATGACATTACAGGTTTGGTTTG